ATGGTCTATAGGCATACTTAAGATGTTGAAATCAGCAAATTGGAAGCTTCACGTGCATTACAATTTTGTAATCCCCACGACCACAAAGGGGACTTGAAACACACGAAGGGGTCCCAGACATGAAACACGGGGCAACCTAGTAATTAAATGAATGTGTTAACACATGAATCGGTTCTGTGATAGTTCTTTCTCATATTTTGGCCACAACCCACAGAAACAAACAATAGCAGACAAACGAGTAGTGCCAAAAGTTGCTTTAATAAGGGATAAGACATATTGTTGTCCACTAATTTCGGAGGATACTTAGGTCCCCAGAAGACATGGCGCCGTATGAACTTTATGCAGCTTAAATGTAAAATCTTCTCAATTAAAATTATGGCCATATAAGCCATTGCCTTTGGTTACAGATAGTGGTTACGGTCACACCTGCACTCACTGCCATTGCATGCATTAATTGCTGCTATTGTGATGCAAACCATGGTGTGAGAGTTTTGTTTGCACATAATTTTATCGTTATTGTAACTGTTAATGTAAACCATGGTGTGAGAGTTTTGTTTTGCTTATAATACTGAACATGTCTATACTCGTTTCATAAAACCTATATCATCTCAATGAATAATTTGGTTTAACCTTATATTTAAAATAATATAATTATTGTTGGAATAATCATAAACTTCTTAAATACTCTTGTATACGTAGATTTATGTTTTTTCTTATCATTAGTTTATCTAACTAGAGGCTAATCTTACTTTGTCATTGGTGTCATAGATCTGAGTATCCGACGAGTTTTCACATACAATAAAAATTGAACTCACTACAGTAACGTATTGGATTATCTGAATGTATAGATAAGTTTACATCACTATCGAGAGAGTATAAAACGTATTAATTTTCATTAATCACTATGATTATCCCTCTATAATTTTTTCATATATGGCCTAAATCTCTCACTCTTTAATTGAATTTTCATTATCCCTCTTCCCTAAATAAGCGTCTTCCCTCATGCACAATGTAAAACAGCACACAACAAGGTCAGGCCCACTCTTTCTCCATTGATGATCACCTTTTTAGCTATAGTGACAATTAGACAAGACTTGCTCTTCTTATCACGGAATTCCTGCTCTCTTCTTCACAGTTACAGTGTATCTAATCCTCCCATAATTAACTATAGACAATACTAAATTATAAAATAGAATATAATTTTTTTTTAAAATAAATATTCTTTCTGGTTTTAAATATAAACAATAAATATTTTTTTATATATTTATTGGTATCAAATATAAGAAAATATCAACTAATCTCTCCCTTATTTAAAAGTATGAGAACGTAGGTTTAATTATCATTGTGATCATCTTTTTAATCTTTCTTATTTTTACCAAAATAAAAATTAATCTCTCCCTTTTTGATACTATTATCCCTAAAATATTTCATTTAGTTGAGATTGTATTTTCAATATATGTCTTTTTTATTCTTGATATCAAATTTCAAAAAGAATAGTTTAAGAAAATAAGTTAATTTTTTTATGAGATTAACAAAATTAAATTATATAAACTGCATTCCTTAATTAGTGTAAATGTATCTCTCTTTTTTTGTTGCTTATATTCATAATCAATAAGAGTAGTTTGTACGTACGACGATATTATAAAAAATATTTAAATTATAAATTATTATGTATAATAGATTAATTTATTTTTTATAATAATTATATTAAAAATCATAACGGTCGTTTAGAAATTTATTAATAGTGTAATTATTTTTTACATTAATAGTGTATAAGAATTAAACTATTCTATTAATTGATATTTTTATTCTCTATTATAATTAGTCAAAATTTCTCTCTCTCTCTAAAAAATATCTTGTTCAATATATCCTCATAATTTATCGATATCATGATTATATTAAATTTTAATATTGTTTTTAAAATCATCAATAATTTCTTCTATTTACAAAATTTACAAAGTGAGCTCTTATTTTTTACACTACATCGATTAGACATTTTAAATATTTTCTATTTTTTTAATTTTCTTTAGCCATGCATTTTACTTTAACATAATTACACATCTACTAAAACTATTTAATTTCTCTCTCTACAATCTCAAAACTTCCCTCCTTTTGTCTTTGTTAGTATGTAGACTTGATTGTAACTACTTATTTATTTTAATTTATCTTTTTCATCTTTATTTTTAAATTAAATTTCAACAATATTTAAAAATGTCAATAATTTAAAATAACCTTTTATCATAATAATTATTTATTATAAAATTAAAATATAATTTATATATTCAAAAGCATCTTGAATATCATAAGTTATATTTTTGAATTTATAATGAATAATTAATTTTTTTTATATAAATTTAATTATAATGATTTTCTTTTAAAAATTCTTGAAATTCAATTTAAAACTAAAGATAAAAGAGAATATATAGATTGAAAGCCATATGTTGTTAAGAAAATCAAGTATAAGTATAAAAATAAAGGAGAGTAGTTTGCTATGGTTGTGCATTCAAATATTTGTCCTACAGTCATTTGTGAAGATACCCTTAATGGATTGAAGATCATATCAATGGATCTTCATCGCATATGCTAAAAGGAAATTTTTTGAACTAATTAGTTGTCATCAAATTAAATTTGAAATTAAAATTGAGATATATGTGAAGTTAATGAAATTTAAAAATAAATTTAATGTTCAATATATAACATTAATATAAGACATGTGACTCAACAAAAAGAATAACTCATAAAAAAGACTTTCATTATAAAAATATAACTTTTAAAAATACTCTTAATAAAATTAAAATAACTCTTACAGACATTAAGAGAGAATTTATATTCAAAACTTAGAAGTAGATTATGAATTTTAATAACATAATTTATATATTAAAAATATTTATTTATTATGAATTTAATTAAATAAAATAAATATTTATCATGTATAATACACATATTAAAATTATCATCCAATCAGAAATTGTTATGTATAATAAATTCATTGACTTTCATAAAAAGTACATAAAAATCCTAAAATATTAGGTTTTGTGATTAATTAACAATGTACAGTTTTATATTATTAACTTTAGTATAGTCATTGAACTCTTCAAATTATTATATAATTTACAATTAATTTAATTTATCAGTTATAAATCTAATATATAATTTATATATTCAACAAAAATTATTATAAATTTTAATTATATGAAAATAAAAAATTATTAAAAGAAGAATCCATAATAATTGATGATCACTTTTTAAGCTGATGTTTATAATAATTGATTACAAGGCCTACTAATATTTTATTTTTTTTAAAAAGTATTTTTCCCCCTAAAATATGTTTTACAATAAGAGAGAATCCAAATCTACAATTGACTAGTTTGATGGGTCGTTTAAGTCTTCATTTTATAGCCTATTGCCGTTGACATGCAGTTTTATCGCGGTCGCGGTGCAAGTGTTGTTACGTTTAATGTATAACCTATTGAAAATTTTTCATATAAATTACATTTACAAAATTTTAAATTAATCTAAAATGATTTAAGATCTCAGTATTTTAAAATTAACATAATTATTTTGATTATCCGATAATTATTATTTTATAAAATTATATAATATATAATTATAATCTAACAGTATGTTAATAGAAATTATATTTTATACAGTTATTAACATATACACGATATAATAATATACCGTATGGGACCGAAGCCAACCCGACCAATCCCACCGAACACCCGAACCCAATGCCACTACCCGAACACACCGACCGCTTACCAAGCAAAAGGGGTTGGTCTAGTCGGCCGATCCCCGGGACTCCACCAGTATAATTTCGAAAGGATTAATTAAAGGAATAAGCCGGATTAGTCCCCTAATTTTTCGGAGCCCAGCTCCTAATCACGGCCCAATAAGAAACACTATAAATAGATTCGAGGTACGTAACTAACTTTCAACTATCACATTTATTACGCCGAGCACTTACTTGAGCGTTGGAGTGTCTTTGCAGGCACACCCCCCTCACATCGAACTACCCGGGTAGGAACGAGAAGACCGAGACCCAAGATCCGACCCGCTACAACAGATAATTGAAGTGTGTTTCCTAACACAGGAACAAATAACAAGTAAACCAATTCCTCATGTATAAATCCATATAAAAAAATATAAATCCATAGTAGAATTTAATAACAGCATATTTACATTCCAAAGTACAATAATAGGACTAAGAATGAAATTAGTTTCTCAGGTGAATTAATACATATACTCGATCGAGAGAGAGAAAAAATTAACAACAATATATTTCATTTTCAATGGGTAATATAAAAATCCATTTGTACAAAATATTTAAATATGCAAATTACTGGTAAGCAGATCACGTGGTTTTTGTCAACGAACTACATGAAGAGAGAGAGACTTGAAGCTATGGTTTCATCCTCGTTAACAAGCGAACCGTACGATGTCTATGAACAGAAGCATCGAAAATGAAAATTAAATGATACTTGGATAATAAATTATACATAAAATGAGGTTTAACTCAATTAGTATATCTGAGTTGTTGTAACTTTTATTGGTATATGTTTGATTCTTATAAATAAAAAAAAATATATTATACATAAATTTTACAATTGAAAGAAAAAAAAGTGAAAATTTTGAAATATAATAAATCATAGAGAAAAATATATAAATATAAAAATAATACTATGTATATAAGTATTATACGTTTATCATCGTTCCATAAAAATTCATGGTCGTTTCATAGAATTCTTCAACCCCCACATCACGTGGTTTTTGTCAACCAACTACACTGGTGTTAAAGGAAAAAAATTTATTATATCATCAATATTTAATCATGATGTTAGTTAATTTTTATGCCAAATGTAAATTAGATTTTAAATTTACGAAAAAAATAATACAATTCGATTAGATGGTTGTAACAATTTTGAACTATATAACAATTTCTGGTTAAAGAAGAAGGAGAGAAAGAGAGAATTTGAAGCTGCAATTCCATCCTAATTATATAACAAGCCAAAGGCAAATGAAAATTTCCAATTTCCATGACTATAAGTATGAACAGAAGCATTGCAGAAATCCCCATCTCCTATTCAGTTCCCTCCACACTCTCGTCACCCTTTTTCCATCTTATGAAAAGTTACATGCAGTACTAGAAAAGAAAAAGGCAAACACGAAATTAATAAAGCTAGCCCTTCCCCTCGCTAAATAATTAACAACTGCATCACTATCCCAACTTCTAATTTTGTTACATATAAACATCTAACACATGAACTCCAATTGAAGTCACAACTTAAGAATTTTCCATCACATCAAATCGCAACCACAATTTAGAATCATGAAATTTTTGACGGCATCAAACCGCAACCACAATTTAGTATCATAAAATTTTCGACCACATGAGACCGCAACACAATTTAGAACCATGATGTAAAACCTTGGTTAACGTTGTTTCCAATGAACTCACACCCTCACACGCCCCTAGCCAACATTTCATGGAACCTTCTCTCAGATTCTTGCTTCTCTAACCTGAACTTCTCGTGGCAATCAGCGATGAACGTTTCGGCTAACATATCAATACGGTTAATCCCATTATCATCATCATCATCGTCATGAACCTTCTCTTCAAGCCAGTGCAAGTACCCCGCAAGGTTCTCGTCATCATGGCAAGAATCCTCATCCGAAAGGGCTTTAACATTAATGTCACAAGCTTTTGGCAAGCCTTGGAAGACCCTTGAGGGGACAGGGATAACGTGGGAGGATTTGGAGGAGCACCAATTATAGTGGAGCCTGAAGGAGCCGAAAATGATGTTCTTGCTTATCTTGTGTTTCCTATTGTGGTAGGGGAAGAGAATGTTAACGTTGGATTGGTTTCCCTTGAGGATTTCGATGATTGCGGCTTTGACTTTGGAGAGGGCACGGATGATGCGGCACATGTGGGAGACTATGAGCGTGTGGATGAGGCTCTTTAGCTTCATGGAGCTCAGGGTTGATGGGGGTTGTTGTTGTTGTGGTGAAGGTTTTGTGAGATGGGATGATGATGATGATGGGGTAGGCATGTTTGTTTGTTTCTATGTTGTGTGTGATTTTGGGTGATGGTGGTGGGGGTGAGAAGTGAGAAGTGAGAAGTGAGGAGAGAGTGGTGTATTTAATGTGGGAGTGTATTGGGTCCATGTCTCATGGGATGTAGTTTATGTCACTCCTCCAAATCCATTTGCCTCTCAAGTTACAACTTTACCCTTGAGGTTTTGTATATTTAATGAATTATCATTCTAATTTTATATATATAATTTCATAATTTTAAAGTTGTCATGGGATGATTATATTTTAATTTTTTAAACTTAAATATAGTTTTAGTTTTTAAAATTTGAGATAATTTTTTTTTTCTATTTCTTAAATTTAAAATTATTTTTTTTACTTTTGGATTTGTTTTAGTTGATTGGGACCACCAATATATAGAATCATTGTTAAGGACAAATCTAGTTAGTTGTGCAAGATTAGTTTTTTTTTTTTTTTCTAAACATGATATTAGTACAAAATATTTATCATTATTGAAGATTATAGACGTTCACAAAGTGAATATTCTTCCAATATTTTCTATTCTATATTCAATGTCAAAATTTGTATCCTTGACAATTTAATTAAAGACATGAACCGCTATCATTATCAACCAATGTTATTAGCAAGATTAATTAAATTTAATGTGATATTTCATTAAAAATAATACTAGTATCTGAGTTTTGTATAACAAATTAATAATAGACAAGATTTGAGTAGAGAAATAAAAATATTTTTTTTTTATATTTTAAGATAATAAGTAAATTTACCTCGTATTTGACACTAATTAAAAATATATTTAATTTATTTTTTTCATGAATTATGTAAAAACTGAAAATAAGAATGAGATTATTTATAAGAAAAAAGATTTTTGGACACACAAGACGTGTCTATATATATTGTGAGAGGGATTGGAAGGAAAAAAAGAGACAAGAGATTGATATGATTAATGATGTGAAAAAAACAAAAAGATAAATATACATATTGATAAGATTTTTTTTAGTGTTCAAAATTCATCACATCATGTATAATAACTTGTTATTAAAACTAGAAAAAACAACTTGCAAATTTAAAATGTTATTGATACGATATATTTATATATATTTTGTCCATGATTAATCATTTTTAACAAGATTTTTTTTAATTTAATTACAATTTTTTATATATAAAACTTGAACTTAAAATTTTCTTAAAAAATCGATTTTAGTACTATTCACATCAATGAATTATTGGTTTTCGTTTTTACAATTTAGTATCAAATTGTTAAATTTTTTAATCCTTTAGTCCTTTTGTCAACAAAGCTGTAGTAAGGAGATTATGAGATAAGAAAATAAAAACATGGATAGAGGACTTAAAAAATGGAGATATCTACCAACTTGGAGACTAAATCATGCAAACAAAATATTCAGAGACGCAAATTATTCAAATTGTCGCATTCAAAAACAAAATTGTGGGTTAACTACTACTTAAAAAAAAAAAAATTACCCTTGATATTTTCTTAAATTAAAAATCAATAGAGTAAAGGGTAATGATCTATTGTTCTATATAATAATAAAAAAAAGTATCATTCACATTGACGAAGAAAAAAAAATTATACCTTTCACTTTCATGGAAAATTCAAACCACGTTCCTTCTTCTTTCGTCGATACTTGCTGCTCGGGGCATTACCCGCTTCCCAGTTTAAAAAGATTCTGCTTTGTTTTGGCAACTTCGAGGAGGACACTCAAAATTTCTATGCCATATATTTTTATAGTACACTGACATTTACTTTCCATTAATTATTTGTGATTTGTTTTTGGTTCCTAGGAAATGGGAGAGAACGGTGAAAGTATTAAAAAAAGGAAAATATTGTATCCTCTGAAACGAAGGCAGAAATTTCGTCCAAAATTTTTTAAAAATTATTATTTTTTAATAAATTTATTATAAAATAATTATTTTTTAATAAATTTATTAAAAATAATAATTTTTTAAAAATTCAGACAAAAGTTCGACCTTTGTTTCGGACGCCGTAACAATACTAAAAAAAAAATCTCCATTCATTTTTCTCCCTTTTAATTTTTGAAAAATTAAAGAGAAGAAAGAAATTAATAATATTTGAATTGTATGGATTGAATTATTTTAATTTTTTTCCATATCATTATTATTTACTATTCAGCAAAAAGAAATTATTTACTAATGGAAAGATATATATATATATATATATATACACACACACACACACACACACTTTCTTCTGCATTTTTTATTCTTTAAAATGGGATTTTTTGCATATGTAATTTATTTAATTTTTTTTTATTATATATACTGTATTGCGTATAGAGAAGAGAGAATTAGAAGAAAAAAAATATGAGAAGAAAAATAGATAAGAAATTACGTGAAAATAATAGTTACATAAAGAAATAGAAAGAAAGTAGACTAATTTTTAGAAGATTATTAAATTTAAAAATAATAAATAAATATATTATCTTATTTTATTTATATTATAATAATTATTTTATTTATATGTAATTATGTAACATCCAGCAGCTACATCCTGTACAAGATCCTCAAGGAGGGAGAGAGATGAGCTACAACTCAACATAGAAAAAATGGAAAAAGATAAAGGTCGGACTAAATCAGATGTTCATAAACTCTACTGGAGTTAATCAATGTTGAGGCTATTCATATAGTTAGTCAATGTTGAAGGGATGATTCTTGTGACACCTATTTTTTGAAAATAAAATAAACTATTTTAATAATATTTATCTTATGGGTTTCATTAATTTATTAATAAAGTTTATAGGACAAACAATAGATATTTTTATCAAATAAAATAAAGATATACTACGAACTTGTGAGAAACTTTGGTTTGAACTCTTAAGTTTAACTCGAAGTCCTATCAATAATTAAGAGGAGTTAAGGTTAATAAGTTATATGTGTTTTAGAGGGAATAACCTAGGGAGAATCCTGATGAATGTGTAGGATAGCTTCAAAACAACAAATATTGTGTTCATTGTCTTGGAGGTCATCTTTTGAGGTAAAAGAGAAAGTGAGATTGCCTCACTTTGTAGGCACATATGAGGGGCATGAATAGTGAGGTAACCCATAAGGTTCCTTAAGTTCATAGTTACTTGTATTTAATGGTGTTGATGTGGTATTAATTGAATTACTATTGCATGAGAATATATTACCATTAATTTTCTTGGATTTGAGATTATTAATTGAACTTTCTTAAGTGTTGAAATGCAGGATTATGTACGATTGAGGGTTTTTTATAAATTATATCTTTTGATGTAAATTGGTGCTATGAAAAATTTATTACGAATTTATTGTTTCTCTAAAAGAAATTAAATGTTGTGTATATTGATAGTTTGTGTTTGACTCTAAGGTAATGATTTAGAGGATGTGTTTGTTGTCCTTAAAACCCCAATTTTATAGAATAGGGTGAATATTGGATAATATAACTAAAGATTGAAAATTTGGAGTATTAACCGAGTAATTAAGGATGAAAGAAAGTAGTATGAGATTTCATCTTGTGCTTTGATCGATTAAAATGATATGATAATTAAATTGAATGAAAGATTGAGTTAAGAATGAGTTAAAATCCTTAGATTAAAATTTAATTAATAGAAAATTGTGTGCCTAATTAAGCATACTATATACCAAATTAGCATTTGTAATCCTCATTCAGCTCTTATCCAGTTATTTTTTATTTGGACAATCTGGTTGGCTAGAAATAATCTCATATTCAACTCTAAAATAATTCATGTTCTTGAAATGCTAAATCTGGTGCAATTACGCTCATGGAGATGGTTAAGGGTCAGATTTCCCTCTTTCAATTATAATTTTTTTTGTCCAATTCTCCTAGTGCCTCTCTATCTTAATATTGCATATTGACTTTCCGTCTCATTGGTTCAGTGTTACTCGTTTGTGAGGATTGCTCTTTATCATACCATTCTATTGGTACTATAGTGTTTGGTATATGGGAAGCTTGTTTGGTATAGGCTAATTAAGTCGCCTATTTTGGGGGTTTATGGTTTTTGTTTGACGTGGAATATATTAACTTTCTTTGTTTTTTTAAAAAATACTTTGTACATATGGGTTAATTCAATTTTTCTTATAAAATAAAAGCACTTGTAATCCTCATAAGAATTGTAGTCCTCGATTTTATCTTTCCAGTAGCATTAAAATCATCCTAAAAAAGGGTATAGAACTCAAGTTCTAATCAAATTAGTGAACGAAGGTCAAATTGTCATATTTAGGTTTAAATAGTGCTATCTTTTAATCTTTAAAAAATAGTAGATTGTAAAATAAATTCTTGAGATCAACATAGAAGTTACAAATAATTGTCTTATTTTTTGATAAAATTAGGATGAACATGATATCATAAATATAACTCTAGATATCGCATTTAAATCACATGATGTCATAAAAGCTTAAGATAAGAGGAGATAATATGTAAGTTGTAATGGTAAGTTGTTTTATCCTTTAAGCATTTAATCTTGAGAATGATTTAAAATACTAATACCAATAGTTAAGAAAAAGAAAAGGTAAGAATGGATATTTGTGGATGAGTGATGAATGGGTTACAATTAATATATAAAATTATGTTTATAAGACTTTGTGTATATATGTGATATGAGATAATTGTGCATGATATAATATGAAATGTTGATGTTTGACCTGAGAATATTGTATGCAGCATTTGAGATATTAGTGAATAATGATATATGAGATGATGATAATGTGTGGTTTGACATACTTATATGTAATGTGTAGGATGAGGTGTGATAAGAGAACTTTATGAGATGTATGTATTGATTTGTTTGAGAACCTTACTGTAATGTTTGAGACATTGGGCGTATTTGAGGTGATGTTAGTGATGAGATGAGAAAATCTAGGTAGGGCTTGGTCTTTTGGAGAATTCCAAACACAGAGGCCTGAAAACATGAGGATGTTGGCACTAAGCATTTGTAGGATTGTTGTGTTTGATGATGTTGTGTGAGATTCCATGTATTCATGCATCTTCTTTGGAGGTGGTGTTAATATATACAGGAGGGCCAGTATGGTCTTGTAGCCTTGATGGTGTTAAGGTAGGGAATCT